CAGGGTTTATTGTTATACTATTAGGATTAATAGAAACAATTGAGTATTTATACCCTTGATCATAAAGGTAGTCACTACTTTCACACTTTGATTTGTATGATTTGGGTTATGATTAAATTGTCAACAACAAAAATCAATCCGTGTATATGTGTATTATATAGTGTACCCCAATACGTAATTAAATTGTGTATAAATAAGGACACTAGGTTAATTACTGTAATTGATTATTTGATAAACATATTCACATTTAGTTGTGTGATATGTCACAGAAGTAAAGCTAATTCATAACAACTAATTGTCCCATTTATTTGGTTTCTATCTTTTATATGAAACAAATGCTATAACATGGGGTGATAAACTTCATTGGAAATAGACGTAGCATATAATTGTCCACATGAACAGTCTACTCTGTTCCAGATATGTTTATTCATTTTTTCAGCATTTAAATCGTTGCATTCCTGGCTCAATAATTCATTTGACGAAATGTTGTTCCCTGTTTTGAATTACCGTCAGATAGTTCCAGAACAAGTATACAATTTTCAGCCCTATGTGTTGCGCATAATTCCGAGATAATTCGAAGTTCATATTCTTGTACGAACACTTATCAAAATTCATTTATACCTAGTACTATTATGTACATATGTATATTAGTTCAAATTATAATAATGAGGCCCTCTATATTCTCGAAACGGTCTTTGTTCTACGACAACCGTAAGTCGGTATGGGAAAACAAAATATTTGTTTAATTGTTCAAAGTTAAAAGTCAATGTCATATGATTATAGGCAAGGAAGATAAGAAATTAGATATAAAGAGTAGCCACTTTAAATGACAGAATTTCTTTTAGTTAAATTTGCTCATGATTTGGTCTTTTTCGTGGAACATAGTGCCAAAATACTCTTAATTATTTACTTTCATGTCATTACTAATCTCACATAAGGTCAAAAGTTGTACAACGTTTAACAGATATGATTATGACATGTTGTATCCAAATATTTCCAAACATTTACAAACAAATCCAAACAAATCCAAGCTTGGAAATATGACCTTTCCAAATATTGGAATGGTCATATTTCCAATTGGAATGGTGGTATTTCCAAGTTTTGGATTTTTTGGAATGGATGATATTTTGTCCAGTGCATTTTGGCTGGACTAACGAGTCAATGCAAAGTCCAATCAAAATCATGTAACGAACTAGAGAACAGGTTCATAAACAACAAGGATTTCAAGGTGCAGGTTGTGGTCGACTGAAGGATTTGCAAAGCATGTGTACCGTCTACACTGCGTCGACAGATATTTTACACATCTTTTCATGTTTTTAATCAAGGTGCTCAAGTGATCTGACGCACTTCGCATGCAAACACCCTGATATTACAATAGAAATGTTGATTATCCATCAGATCGTCTTGACTGGGCGCCATCATTTTGTTTGAAACAAATGAAAGTGAAATGAAACATTGAATCTGATTGGTCAGAAGGAGGGACATAGAAGGGACATAAATCGTAATAGCCACTGGTGGACCTGCGATCGAGCCTGAAAATTCCAGCCAACATCGGCAAGGGTTGAAACTGGAATGTTACAGTCAGTTTCCACCTTTGCCTCGATGACGCAGGATCTCAGGTTTCCAGGATGCCCAATTTTCCATGATAAAGGGGACTTGGGGTAGCATAATGGTAAATCAAAGCAACAAAACCCTTTCCATATTCATAAGAAGTCTCTAGTCGATTGTACGATTTCAGTTATATCATGAGCATGCGTTTATGAACCACTATCAAATAGTGATTATACCAGGTGTTTGCGAAGAGGTGAGCGTATCCTGCCCCACCAGTGGCTCCTGTCACAAACACATGCATAGGCAAGTCAATTGTTCACCTGAAAATACATGGGAACATAGTACAATTGAAAATTGGGAATTGCATTGGACATATGAGTCAAATTTGAAATCGTGATAGAAAGAGCATGCTCGATTGTACATCAAAAGCTGTGAAATATGGATACCAAAGGCTGCTGCTGCTGCAATATTGCTGGACATAAAGGTTAAGGTTGGAAAGTTGAAGTCATCCCCCTTGTCATACAGTCTTGTTGGACCGCCTCTGTGGTCTAGTAGAAGAGCATCTGCCTGGAGAAAGGAAGGTCAGGCTGTTTACTCCTGGCCACGTCATACCAAAGAAGATAAAAGATGGTACTTGTTGTTACCCTGCCTGGTGCTCAGCATTACGGGGCTAAAATAAGTGGTCGGCTTTGAGTCAGTATGCTGTGTCAGAGTTGCGTATTAATGTTAAACTGGGCATGGTATCTCAGTGGGCTAGCACCATAATGGCATCAGTAATATTGGCAATAATACAAGCAGACATACGCGCGCACACACACACACACACACACACACACACGTGCATGCACGTCACTATATATGTGCATTATTCTTGAACTCGACATTAAACCCAATTTGACCTCACCTCACCTCGCCTCCAATCTTGTGGACAGTTTTTTGTCACTCTGTCACTGCCTAGATCTAAATATGGAACAGACAAGGCGGTCTCACTGGTGACCTTTATTTCTAGATGAGGTGGGTAAATATTTGGAAGGGAATTGGCTACTTGATCGTTATTGAACTTCACCAGCTCATCAATACATCTAAACTTGGCCAAATTTCCTCGTTTCAACTGTCGATCTGACCAGAAAACCCAAGTCATTTCTTTCATATTGCTGAACAGATGAAGAGGTCGTACAAGAACAACTGATGTTTCTCGTGACGGTCGCAGGGACTAAGACAGATCATACGATGGAAAGATTCAGAGGATGGACCTGAAAGGTAATTATCATTGCAATGGAGCAGTTACAATAGATTATCAAGTTCGTTTTCTGTATTTTTTATAAGTATACTTTGTAAACAAAAGTTCTCCTGAGAATTAATACAGCATGTTATGGTGCGTGGCTAGTTTATGTTGAAATTTAGATGTCAAACATCTGCTTAAGATGACCATCCTGGGCTTTATAGCTGCCAAAGCAAACAACTTTGATATCTGTGCGCGCGTGTGTGTGTTGGCACGTGCGTGCGTATGTATATATGTATTGCACAAGATGTAAGACATTATATTTGGCAATGGTGGATTGTACTTCTTTTCAAAGATTAATGAAACACATAGAAAAAGGTAAAAGTAGTTTATTATAACATCTACACCGTTACGTTTTGATTCCCACACTAAGGTTAATCCAGAAATCAGTTTGTACAGAAAGAGTTAAATCAGGAAATAACGTTAACCACACAACACCAATGAACAATCAAATTACATCGAAACACACATGATTAAGTTGATAAAAGGCAAAACAAAGGCAATATATACATAACTGCAAAAGAAACACAAGTTAAGTTTTTTGTGAAAGCCGAATGGAAATGTATGTAATAGGTTGTTTTTTACACATGCAGCGCAAATCACATGCAGATATACCGTGCATTTTCCCCCTTGTCCATCCTTTATAAGCGGCTATATAAAAAAGCACTAAGCATTTCACACTCGACTTTGAAAAAGTACAGGATACATAGTTCGATTAACTAGTGAGTGAGTGAGTATAGTTTTACGCCGCTTTTAGCAGTATTCCAACAATATCACGACGGGGGACACCAGAAATGGGCTTCACACATTGTACCCATGTCGGGAATGGAACCCGGGTCTTCGGCGTGGCGTGCGAACGCTTTAACCACTAGGCTCCCCGACTGCCCTTTGGATTAACTAACTCCAGAGAGTCGTTGCCATTGGGATGCCACAGGGCAGATCAACGTCACACGCGATGTCGAGGCACTTTGGATGTCATGTGTCTACCATCACCAGATTGATCGCAAAGCATCAACAGACAGGCAGTGTCCACAGCTGGCCTCGATCTGGACAGCCAAGGGTCATAACTCCAGTGGCCGTTCCACAAAGCGATCTTAGTGCTACGTTGGTCGTAACTCCCATACTTTATCATAGGCTTACGATCGACGTAGCACTAAGATCGCTTAGTGGAACGGCGCCCTGGGCAGGACCGTTACATCTGGGTGACACATCTGCGTGAACGACAGCCAATTATTGCTGAAACTAATTTTGTTTTCTATACAAATGAATGTCATGTATTGCTTAGACATGGCTGGTGCAGTTAATACTGCCGTTTAAACAGTTTTAATAATATGTATTTCGTTGATCAATGGAGGGATATTAGTGGCTGTCATTTAGCTTAAAACATGCAGGACTCTAGTCTTGTCCAAACGCCATCTATAATTTTAACATGGAGCACCATATATTAGAAAGAGACACAAATAAAAAAATGAAATAAATACCGATAATTGTTTAACAACAAATACATGAAATATATATTACAATATCACATTAAAAATACCTGTTACATCACAATTTCTCTAAAGTTTAACGTCGCGTCCAAGATTATTGCACTTATATAGCGACGTGCATGCACGTGTGTGCGTGTGGCTGCTTGTACTAGACCGGACTGATGCCGATTTATAGTGCTAGCACACTAAGATACCATGCCGCAGTTTAACATGAATACCCCACTCAAACACAGTATACTGACTCCAAGCCGACCAGTCCTTGATTTAGCCCCTTAATGCCGAGCGCCAGACAGGGTAACAACAAGTACCATCTTTTAACGTCTTTTAACCTCTCCTGGCGGACGCTCTACCACTAGACCACGGAGGCGGTCCATTTCTTTAAAGCTGTACACCATATTCACGTCTAACCTAAAACAGCATATTGTCGTACAATAACCTATCCTAGATTTAGACACAGACTATGAATGAAATAATCATCGGTGGTGGATCCCTCCCCTCCATTTGAAATTCACAACCAGTAAAATTTACCCCCTCCCCACGGGGGGTAAAAGCAGTTAGTTTAAAAAATAACTTGGATCCGCCTCTCATGATCAATGATCGATAATAAACATACATACAATCAACCTGACACACAAACACATTTTTTACATTGGCATGTATCCGAAAAAAATCCAAAGTATGTTCCCGATATTTTTTATTAGATAATTCAAAGGCTAACACGTCTTCATTTGTATCAGTTGTCCTGTTTACATATGTTAAAAAGTTTATATAATGTACGTGGTGGCGAGTATTTACCCGTATATATTTATTTTTAAAATGAGAACTCAATTCATTTCAGGGCTCAAGGATACTGTGCATTCAGAAGAATCTCAACTTCCAGTCTAGTTTACCTAAGACGACCTAAAACATTAGAAAAATTCATCCTTCATATTTTGTGAATAAAATGAGAGAATCAGACTCATACAGGGGCTTAAAATATGCAAGAACATGAACTGAAAATGTAAACTTTTATACACCAAACCTGTGCCAAACATATTGCCTTAGCATATAATCTGATCAATTCGCATGGTCCTTTGCAAATGTTGTACGATGGCAGTCAGTCATGGATTATTAACAATGAATGCCAAATATTTCTCAACCAACTTCTTTAAGTTAGTTTGGATCTTTCCCAGACAGATGCCTCAAAATGCAATCATGTATATGTTGCATATGCTGCACTCATCAATATGCCAGCTATATGACGGCGGTCTGTAAATAATCGAGTCTTGACCAGACAATCCAGTGATTGACGTCATGAGCATCGATCCACGCAAGTGGGATACGCTGAAATGCATCTGGAAATCAAGCCTGTATTCTTGGCCGTTTTTGACAGATTCGAGTCGGCTCCTCTGTGGGTCAGCGGTTGCTCTATCGTAGGCGACCTAATCGTTTACTAAGCACCGTGACAATATATATGTAATGTTGTGGATGATATAGTTTTGAAACTATTATTAAACGAAAAGGCTCATTAAGTACTGAATTGATTCATCTGTCGTTGGATATAGAACTTTGGTGAAGCGCCATGGTGTGGGTACACTGGTTTGAGTGGATTGCCGATCTGAATTATGGAAACACTGATACTAGCGTTCATTTAAAATTTGGAGCCGAAATGAATTTTTGTTTCATTATAATACTACACTCGCATGTAAAACAAGCATTGAACTTCAGCAACTTAGGAAGAGAACGTGACGTGGGCACCCATAAAATCATCATCAAGCCTACCACTCACTATGACGCTGAAACTATGACGTCACAGTTGGCTGTCAAAAAGTTCCAAAATTCAAGGAAATCTTCGGTCTCAAACGACACTGTCTTTGTTGATTAATTTTCTGCATTGATAGAAAGTTGGTTGCAAAATATATCCTTGGGACAACACGGTCACAAACGTAAAAATGATAAGACTTTATACACAGAATGTAAAGATCTTAGCAACGTGGTGTTTCTTCTAGTTGGTACGGTCGTAATGTAGCCTCGGAACTTCTTATAATAGTCGTCAAGGTGCCACATGTTAAAAAGAACTAATCATCAAACATCAAATATGTCTATTCTTCAAATGCGGCATTTCCTGAATACATTACTGTCGTACAGTGAGTGAGTATCGTTTTACTCCGTTTTTAGCAATGTAGCGGAGGGGCACATCAGAATTTACCAGGACTTCACACATTGTGCCCATGTGAGGAATCGGACCCGGGTCTTCGGCGTGACGAGCGAACGCATTAACCACTAGGCTACCCCACCGCCCCACTGTCGTACAGAGATGGAGGAGTTGGAAGGAGAGTTGTCTCTGGGTCATCTGAATTTATTAATACGGATCAGGGTAAAAGGTAAACACACTACCATTCGTAGAAAATCCCAGTAAGGAATCCATAGGCTAGGCTGTTTTTAGAATTACTTCCCTCACAGTGCACCAGTGTCCACACAACACCAGATGCTTCATGCCTCATTACTCGCTGATTGTTCATTACACATGTATAAACATAAAATGAACTGCGCCTGGTGACTTTGATTTTTATCTTCTTTCCTTTGCTAACAGACAGAGGTGAAGGAAACATCACCACATCTGAGAGTTGTCCCTCTGTCACATCCACGTCCTGGTGGTGCTTCAGCAGGGTTGTGTCATCACTGTTAGTAACAACTATGTCTACAGACACCTTGTTCGCCAGCTTCCCAGCATACATCCTCAGCCCGGTCAGGTGAAAACTGGCATCACAGGATATATACAACGCATCACGTCGATATATACCACAGTTACGAGTCTCGTGGTACTCTTGGTCAGGAGGTAAGCGAGACAAGTTATAGACTGGAGATTTCCGAGATATGTCACAGAACGGCCGTATATCCAGATGGCTGATAGAGTATTTTCGTAAGAACATTATGACATGGGCATCACTTAAAATACCTTCATTGCAGACAGTTGTGGCAAATTGCGCCATTGAAATGGATGGAAAACGAATGAGAAACAAACATTCTCCCAGAACTTCTCTTTTCTCATCTGGAGTTACCTCCCTTCCCTGACGTCTACATTCAGCTTCCGCCCACGACATCACAGATCGGAAGATGCAAATCTCGTCAACTCTCATGTCATCTGCCTTCAGGATCAGCTTTAGACATTCCTTGCTTAGCTCACAGAATCCCTCGCTAGCAAAAGTCACCTCCTCTCTGGATTTAATTACCAGAAGAGCTCTGTCCTTCAGGTCTTCTTTATCAAACAGGACCGCTTGTTGTAGGAATACACATGCGTTGCTAGGCGACAGAGATTGTAAGCAGAACTTCTCACATTGCGTTTCCAGTCTTGGGACGTTGTATTTCCTAGCAGCGTACATCAGACCATGGACAGTGTTAGGAGTTAACGCGACCTTCCCCGTGTAGAGGTACCTGATGATGAAATGTTAATGTTATGTACAGACTCACTCGGGTGTGTTTGGATATCAAATGTATCAACTCAGGCTTGCTGAGACACAAGGGTGGGATTCTATTAATTATCAAAAATCATTATTTAGCTAAACTTTCTGAATAGTAACACCAAGTGTCTTGGATGTAACTAATACAGCCACAGTTTCAGTGGCAGTGGGATTAGTGATGTCATTTGATTGTGATGTCATGGTAACCGATGACATCACACTGGCCGCAAAGCATTGTTACAATTTCATTGATCTCACATACAGATATCTCTCATGGAAATCAGTTTTGGGTGATAAATAGAGAGTCTTTTGATATCAAATATATCAACACGAGTTGATAAAAGTGGGAAAACTCTGAGGTTTGCCGATGATTTTTTCCACTTTTATCAGCGAGTGTTGATATATTGGATATCAAAGACACAAGAGTGAGATTTTATTTATCATCCAACATCATTCTTCCAACTTTTTCAGTTTGTAGAAAGTAATAAGCAGTGTCTTAAGAGTAAAAACTACTGCTAACAGCTTCAGTAGCAGAGCCATTAGTGATGTCATTTGATTGCGACGTCATGGTAACCAATGACGTTACAATGGTCTGCAAAGCATTGTGATGCAATTTCATTGCAGCGATATCTACAGTGTAGATATCGCTTGATCTCACCGTAGCGATATCTCCTGTGGGAACCAGTTTTGGGTGATAAATGGTCATGATGTTACGTTTTGTTAAACAGAAACTATGGAACATCAGTGTAAACATGCCAAGTAGGCAAACATGAGATATTTCCGAAACGACTGAGTGATGTAATTTCTAGCAGGTAAACATTTCACAAATCAGAAATTATTGCATGCTGGTGTAATTACACCATATGAGTAAATATTAAAAACTCGAGAACCATCAAGGCATAGTCGGTATTCTACAATGGGCTGGTTTCAGTTGAGATTAATTAGGGTTGTGTAAATCGTTTTGTCTCTTGTTTTAGATGCTTACAAAACAGCTCTAGATATGGTGATACGTTGTTGTGTCATATTGTGGCTGCTGGAGATTGTGCCATGTCAACAACTTGTTCTCCTTATACCTTCTGTTATCTTCTGCCAGATAGTTCGAAATAAACCAATAAAACATCTCAACTAACCTTAGAAAGGTCTTGAAGTTGTCTGTCTGAATATCAGGAATCACTACTTGGCCCGTCTCGGGGATTGATCCACAGAACATCGTGTGAAACACGCAACTACGGCTGACTAAAATGAATTTGTGAGCCTGGATTGCCTCCCTTTGATCTCCAACGAGGAAGGTCACATCAGCCAACAACAAACTGTCCAACATGTGCAGGTTGCTTGCCGCCAAGGACTTTCCACTTTGCCAATTGTCAATATCAGTTGCCATGATGTGTCTGAACAAACAAATTTTTTATCAATTTAACTGAAAATATTTTCGATTTCTTCAAACCTTTATATTGGGTGGCCAAATGATGGACTCGCAATATGGACCAGGATGTGGTGATAGCAGGCTCTGATCCCGGATTCGTCTTGTTTACGATCCTTGGTTTGACAGCACCATACACTTAGATTTCACCAACACGGGAACCACTCCACATCGGGCTTCTAATCCCACACTAAGATGTCATGCACTCACTCCACCAACACTAAGATGTCACGCACTCACTCCACCAACAATAAGATTTCACTCACTCCACCAACACTAAGATGTCACTCACTCACTCCACCCACACTAAGATGTCACTCACTCACTCCACCAACACTAAGATGTCACTCACTCACTCCACCCACACTAAGATGTCACTCACTCACTCCACCAACACTAAGATGTCACTCACTCACTCCAACAACACAAAGATGTCGCGCACTCACTCCATCCACACTAAGATGTCACTCACTCACTCCAACCACACTAAGATGTCACTCACTCACACCACCCACACTAAGATGTCACTCACTCACTCCATCCACACTAAGATGTCACTCACTCACTCCACCCACACTAAGATGTCACTCACTCACTCCACCAACAATAAGATGTCACTCACTCACTCCACCCACACTAAGATGTCACTCACTCACTCCACCAACACTAAGATGTCGATCACTCACTCCACCCACACTAAGATGTCACTCACTCCACCAACACTAAGATGTCACTCATTCACTCCACCCACACTAAGATGTCACTCACTCCACCCACACTTAGATATCACTCTCCACAACACTAAAATGCCACTGACTCAGTCCACCAACACTAAGATGTCACTCACTCACTCCACCCACACTAAGATGTCACTCACTCACTCCACCCACGCTAAGATGTCACTCACTCACTCCACCAACACTAAGATGTCGATCACTCACTCCACCAACACTAAGATGTCACTCACTCACTCCACCCACACTAAGATGTCACGCACTCACTCCACCAACAATAAGATGTCACTCACTCACTCCACCAACATTAAGATATCACTCACTCACTCCACCCACACTAAGATGTCACTCACTCACTCCACCCACACTAGGATGTCACTCACTCCACCAACACTAAGATGTCACTCACTCACGCCACCCACACTAAGATGTCAATCACTCACTCCACCAACACTAACATGTCACTCACTCACTCCACCCACACTAAGATGTCACTCACTCACTCCACCAACAATAAGATGTCAATCACTCACTCCAACAACACAAAGATGTCACGCACTCACTCGATCAACACTAAGATGTCACTAACTCACTCCTACCACACTAAGATGATACGCACTCACTCCACCCACACTTAGATGTCACTCATTCACTCCACCCACACTAAGATGTCACTCATTTCATCCACACTAAGATGTCACTCACTCCACCAACACTAAGATATCACTCTCCACAACACTAAAATGCCACTCACTCACTCCACCAACACTAACATGTCGATCACTCACTCCACCCACAATAAGATGTCACTCACTCACTCCACCCACACTAAGATGTCACTCACTCACTCCATCCACACTAAGATGTCACTCACTCACTCCACCAACACTAAGATGTCACTCACTCCACCAACACTAAGATGTCACTCACTCACTCCACCCACACTAAGATGTCACTCATTCACTCCACCAACACTAAGATGTCACTCACTTACTCAACCAACACTAAGATGTCACTCACTCCACCCACACTAAGATGTCACTCACTCACTCCACCAACACTAAGATGTCACTCATTCACTCCACCCACACTAAAATGTCACGCACTCAGTCCGACCACACTAAAATGTCACGCACTCAGTCCATCCACACTAACATGTCACTCACTCCACCAACACTAAGATGTCACTCACTCCACCTACACTAAGATGTCACTCACTCACTCCACCCACACTAAGATGTCACTCACTCCTGCCACACTAACATGTCACGCACTCAGTCCACCCACACTAAAATGTCACGCACTCAGTCCACCCACACTAACATGTCACTCACTCCACCAACACTAAGATGTCACTCACTCACTCCACCAACACTAAGATGTCACTCACTCCACCAACACTAAAATGTCACTCACTCCACCAACACTAAGATGTCACTCACTCACTCCACCCACACTAAGATGTCACTCACTCACTCCACCCACACTAAGATGTCACTCACTCCACTAACACTAAGATGTCACTCACTCCACCAACACTAAGATGTCACTCACTCACTCCACCCACACTAAGATGTCACGCATTCAATCCACCCACACTAACATGTCACTCACTCCACCAACACTAAGATGTCACTCACTCCACCCACACTAAGATGTCACTCACTCACTCCACCCACACTAAGATGTCACTCACTCACTCCACCAACAGTAAGATATCACTCACTCCACCAACACTAAGATGTCACTCACTCATTCCACCCACACTAAGATGTCACTCACTCACTCCACCAACACTAAGATGTCACTCACTCACTCCACCCACACTAAGATGTCACTTACTCACTCCACCCACACTAAGATGTCACTCACTCACTCCACCAACACTAAGATGTCACTCACTCACTCCACCCACACTAAGATGTCACTCACTCACTCCACCCACACTAAGATGTCACTCACTCCACTAACACTAAGATGTCACTCACTCCACCAACACTAAGATGTCACTCACTCACTCCACCCACACTAAGATGTCACGCATTCAATCCACCCACACTAACATGTCACTCACTCCACCAACACTAAGATGTCACTCACTCCACCCACACTAAGATGTCACTCACTCACTCCACCCACACTAAGATGTCACTCACTCACTCCACCAACAGTAAGATATCACTCACTCCACCAACACTAAGATGTCACTCACTCATTCCACCCACACTAAGATGTCACTCACTCACTCCACCAACACTAAGATGTCACTCACTCACTCCACCCACACTAAGATGTCACTTACTCACTCCACCCACACTAAGATGTCACTCACTCACTCCATCAACACTAAGATGTCACTCATTCACTCCACACACACTAAAATGTCACGCACTCACTCCACCCACACTAAAATGTCACGCACTCAGTCCACCCACACTAACATGTCACTCACTCCACCAACACTAAGATGTCACTCACTCACTCCACCAACACTAAGATGTCACTCACTCACTCCACCCACACTAAGATGGCACTCATTCACTCAACCAACACTAAGATGTCACTCACTCCACCCACACTAAGATGTCACTCACTCACTCCACCAACACTAAGAGGTCTCTAATTCAGTCCACCCACACTAAAATGTCACGCACTCAGTCCACCCACACTAAAATGTCACGCACTCAGTCCACCCACACTAAGATGTCACTCACTCCACCAACACTAAGATGTCACTCACTCCACCCACACTAAGATGTCACTCACTCACTCCACCCACACTAAGATGTCACCCACTCCTGCCACACTAACATGTCACGCACTCAGTCAACCCACACTAAAATGTCACGCACTCAGTCCACCCACACTAACATGTCACTCACTCCACCAACACTAAGATGTCACTCACTCCACCCACACTAAAATGTCACGCACTCAGTCCACCCACACTAACATGTCACTCACTCCACCAACACTAAGATGTGACTCACTCCACCCACACTAAGATGTCACTCACTCACTCCACCCACACTAAGATGTCACTCACTCACTCCACCCACACTAAGATGTCACTCAATCACTCCACCCACACTAAGATGTCACTCACTCACTCCACCCACACTAAGATGTCACTCACTCACTCCACCCACACTAAGATGTCACTCACTCACTCCACCCACACTAAGATGTCACTCACTCACTCCACCAACACTAAGATGTCACTCACTCACTCCACCCACACTAAGATGTCACTCACTCACTCCACCCACACTAAGATGTCACTCACTCACTCCACCCACACTAAGATGTCACTCACTCCACCCACACTAAGATGTCATTCACTCACTCCACGAACGCTAACAGGGGTGAATAGGGTTTTTAGCTTCCGGAACTCGGAAAAGGAGCTGGCTGAGCTAGTCAAATCCTTTGCTTTTAATGCTGCCCTAAGGCCAAAATGTGCACACGTGTACATGTAATAGTTGTTGAATGCTTAGTTAAAACAATGTATAACGTTACTATGGAAACACATGGTTGTGTGTAATCAAAGGAGAGCTCCGTTGTTGCTGTGAGGCGAACACCAAGGGAGATAACCATGGACAGGCATTAGGACTTCAAGTTTCGATTTATAAACACCAGCGTTCATCAGTTCCACCTGGCTTAAGTGACCTGTGGACTAAATGAGCTGCAACTAGGTGAACACAAGTATGTAAATGTTCATCAAACACTTCATTAATATACAATCGTTGATGTAAATGTACGTCAGATTTCTTTACCTGTTTGTGTAACACCTCGAGACAACACAACTCGGTCTTGCTTCCTGGTTGACGTCACGTGACATCTACAGTCTCACCGAAATACAAAGGCCTTCAATGTTAGTTCATTTCATATCAACAAAGATATCTCCTGCGTTTGGAGAGAGTTGTGGGATGTGTTTATAGGACACTTCTTTGCCTTAGCTAAGTGTACTGTCTACTCTACTGACCCCTTTAGGGTGTGACACTGTGACTATTTTATTTCAATCTGTCGAGTATTTGTATGGAACACTCACTGTTTACATGTTGTGAGGAATAGCTGGGGCACTAAACCCATACACTTGTTACATGCGGTCATGAATTGTTTGGAGGGTACTTTTCTCTAAAGTTAAAAACTTGATGACTGCTTGGTACTCGTTCTTGTCCATTTCTGGGTCCATTTCGACCCCTGTCACGTCATGGTGTGGGGAGGCTTCAGTCATCATCACAAGGCCCCTCTACACGTGCTAAGTCGTGGCACTGACTGCTGTCGTATACAGGGATGCTGGCTCTTCGCAATCACGTCACACCTCTCTTCCTGGGTCAAACTCAAGGCCAATTAAAGTTGGTTGACTGTGATAGAGAAACTACTTTGTTGATTGTGAACTACGCAATGTCATTTATTCATGCCACTGTACGGGGATGGCAGTTAGCAGTAGCCAGCTAGCCGGGACCAGTTTTATTAATATTAAATCGGGCTTGTAGATGTTCTTGTAAATTCTATCCCTGATGTACCTCCATCACCTTCCTAACACGACTCGATATAACTGAAAACTGTTCAAAGCAGCAATAAATGTAACACTCACTCATCCCAGAGTATACTCACATGGCCATAAAATCTGAGGACTTCTTGACATACTTGCCAACATTTCCCCAAGGTGTAAAAAAATTGCTTGTCAGTATGACGTTGTTGTACCTGAGGTGGATGTTTTATTGGATACTAGATTCTTACAGTAACAACAATAATAATAATGTTGAGTCAATACGAGTTATATTTCCTTCCTGTGATATTGGTAGAACATGTATAATATTTTCATTGGCCTGGAGACATGTGTGTCACACATTGAAATGAATGTTGTTTAAGGTTGACAATCATTGCATGATGTCCGTGCCTTGGGTTGCAGTGATAGCTGTATGTGTATGTCAGCAAGATCTTGTAGATATGTATAATGGGGACCAAGTATGGAACAAACTCACATTTTATAAGTTAAGATGATAAACAACATGATTAATCCTCCCTGAGCACATTAGAAGTGCTGGAATTAATATTTGTAGGACATACCTGTTCAGAGTTCAATTCAAATCTCTGAAATGTTGGAAATTGATCATTATTTATTTAATATTCAGGTTAGGTAATGAGGGAGGGTGTAAGTGGAGGAGGGTGTGTGTAGAGGAGGGTGTTAGTGGAGGGGAAGGGTGTTAATGGAGGGGAGGGTGTTAGCTGGAAACGGTGTTAGTGGTTGGGAGTGTGTTAGCAGGGAAGGGGTGTTGGTGGGGAGGGGTGTTAGCTGGAAAGGGTGTTAGTGGTTGGGAGTGTGTTAGCTGGAAAGGGTGTTAGTGGTTGGGAGTGTGTTAGCAGGGAAGGGATGTTGGTGGGGAGGGGTGTTAGCTGGAAAGGGTGTTAGTGGTTGGGAGTGTGTTAGCAGGGAAGGGGTGTTGGTGGGGAGGGGTGTTAGCTGGAAACGGTGTTAGTGGTTGGGAGTGTGTTAGCAGGGAAGGGGTGTTGGTGGGGAGGGGTGTTAGCTGGAAAGGGTGTTAGTGGTGGGGAGTGTGTTAGCAGGGAAGGGGTGTTGGTGGGGAGGGGTGTTAGCTGGAAAGGGTGTTAGTGGTGGGGAGTGTGTTAGCAGGGAAGGGGTGTTGGTGGGGAGGGGTGTTACCTGGAAAGGGTGTTAGTGGTGGGGAGTGTGTTAGCAGGGAAGGGGTGTTGGTGGGGAGGGATGTTAGCTGGAAAGGGGTGTTAGTGGTGGGGTGTGTGTTAGCAGGGAAGGGGTGTTGGTGGGGAGGGGTGTTAGTTGGAAAGAGTGTAAGTGGAGGGGAGTGTGTTAGCTGGAAAGGGTGTTAGTGGTGGGGAGTGTGTTAGCAGGGAAGGGGTGTTGGTGGGGAGGGGTGTTAGCTGGAAAGTGTGTTAGTGGTGGGGTGTGTGTTAGCAGGGAAGGGTTGTTGGTGGGGGAGGGGTGTTAGTTGGAAAGGTTGTTAGGGGAGGGGAGGGTGTTAGCTGGAAAGGGGTGTTGGTGGTAGGGAGGGTGTTAGTTGGAAAGGGTGTTAGTGGAGGGAAGGGGAGGGGTGTTAGCGAGAAAAGGTGTTAGTGGAGGGGAGGGGAGGGGTGTTAGCTAGAAAGGGTGTTAGTGGAGGGGAGGGTGTTAGCTGGAAAGGTTGTTAGTGGAGGGGAGGGTGTTAGCAGGAAAGGGGTGTTGTTAGGGGTGGGTGTTAGTTGGAAAGGGTGTTAGGGTAGGGTGTTAGTTAAAAGGGTGTTAGCAGGGAAGGGGTGTTGGTCAGGGAGGGGTGTTAGGCGATAAACATAAATACACAGGATGAAGTGTTTCATCAAAATCTAAAATGATGCTTATTGTGATTACTTTTCTTTTTAAACAAGAAACCTACCATCCAATATATTCCTACTCACCACACTAGTATGTATTCTTAACCTGATGTCACAAAATCTTTATTTGCTGTTTATGATATTAAATGTTAGAAATGTTGATCTGACTTCAGGAAATGATAATCATCAGTGGGTGTTCTTATTTTGTGTTTACGAATGTTGCAGCATCTGGAGATATATACATTGATGCCCGCTTGTCAGCTTAAACTTAAGTACTAAATAATAGATTTTCAAGATCAACCCTAGACTATGTTTTATCTGTGTGAATAATCTTGTTGTTATTGGCAACTGTTGTAAATATATCAGTGTTGTCGTGCTGAGCTTGTGTACAATCATGTGTGAATATCATTGTCATTGATACGCGTGGAGGAAAATGACATATCATTATGTACATATCCTTGTCATTGATACGCGTGGAGAAAGCGACATATCATATGTACATATCGTTGTCCTGTATTGTGTTTCTACATGCTTCAATGTTTCCTTCTTGGAGGATAGTCCATTTTACATCCCTTTTGTACAAATTTATATGAACATCATATTGTACAGATATAAGTTTTAAAGACAAGTTTAAAACAAATCAAACAATTTATTTTCTGTAGTATTATTGATAAAAAAAATAAATACCCAGAAAGATTGTGATGGATTTTTCTTGTTTTTGCACCCAAATTTACAAACCGGTCCAGGGTACCTAGATCTCCATCTTCCCAAGCTACCATAAAACCTTGTGAAATCCTGATAGAAACAGCATGCGCGATTGTACATCAAAAGTTGTGAAATATGGATACCAAAGGCTGCTGCTGCTGCAATATTGCTCGACATAGGTTAAGGTTAAGTTGACTATTGGAAAGTTGAAGTCATCCCCCTTGTCATACAGTCTTGTTGGACCGCCTCTGTGGTCAAATAGAAGAGTGTCTACCTGGAGAGAGGAAGGTCGGGGGTTCACTCCTGGCCACGTCATACTAAAGAAGTTTAAAGGTGGTACTTGTTGTTACCCTGCCTGATGCTCAGCACTACGGGGCTAAAATATGGAGTGGTCGACTTTGAGTCAGTATGCTATGTAAGAGTGGCATATTAATGTTAAACTTGGCATGGGATATCACCTTAATATTGGCATTAGTCGGAATAATACAAGCAGCGACATACACACACACACACACACACGTGCATGCACGTCTCTACGTAAGTGCCATAATCTTGAAGTCCACATTAAACCCAATTTGACCTCACCTCACCTCACCTTCAGTCTTGTGGACAGTTTTTTCGTCACTCTGAATCTTTATGCCTAGAATTGAATATGAAGCGGACAAGGCGGTTTCACTGGTCACCTTAATTTCTAGTTGAGGTGGGTAAATATTTGGAAGGGAATTGGCTACTTGATCGTTATTGAACTATACTGAACAACAAAAGTTCCTGTGACATTGAATAAGATATAATGCAAAGTTATGTTTTCTACCAAATCTGAAACAATTTCGGTTTGCAACAGATAAAAGACTCCTGTAAATGTTCCAATGGTTTAATTTGCAATACTGACTTCAGAAAATGCGTGTTTTCATAAAAAAGACATGAACATGCCAAAATGTCAATTTACAAATCAATAGCGTGTGTATCCACCTCTGGTTGCGATGCAAGCAACACATCTTCGTCTCATGGAATGGACCAGGCGTCGCACAGAGTTCTGTGGGATATCTGTCCATATCTGCTGGAGCATGTTTCGAAGTTCCTGGAGTGTCTGTTGACGTCGAAGGCGCCGATCCATCTCATCCCACATGTGCTCGATTGGTGAGAGATCAGGTGAGCGAGCCGGCCAGGGGATGACCTTCAAGTTGTTTTGTTGAAGAGAATCCTGAACAAGTCGAACAATATGAGGCTGGGCATTGTCATGTTGAAAGGTAATGCCTGGGCCATGACGACACAAAAACGGCAGAAGAACAGGGCTCATGATCTCGTCGCGGTAGCGCTGTCCATTGAGATTTCCCTCTACCACTATCAACGGGTCCTCTGGCTTGCTGTAATCCCAACCCATACCATTACGCTGCCGCCCCCGAACCGATCTTCTTCCATGACACAATGATTGACGTAACGTTCACCTCGACGTCGGTACACTCGAATCCGCCCATCGCTGTGGCTGAGGTAAAAACGAGACTCGTCAGTGAATAGAAGTTGTCCCCACTGCATGGCCGTCCAAAGTAGACGCTTTCTGTACCACTGTAGACGTGCTTGACGGTGATTTCCTGTCAAAATGGAACGTCTTGCGGGTCTTCTGGCGACAATCCCTGCACATCTGATGCGACGACGTACGGTTTGTGAAGATATTCGTTGAAGGCCAGGGATGCTTCTTGCAGTCACTGTTGCTGGCTGGAATCGATTTCGTAGGTGTGTCGTTCGAATCCAGTTGTCTTGTCGATTATTGGTTACGCGTGGACTGCTTCTCCGAGGATGGTCTCCGACCGCAATCGTATGTTGCCAACGTTGCCATAAACACCATATGGTATTTTCGTGGACGTTAAATTGTCTTGCAACATCACGTTGACTCGATCCTGCTTCAAGCATACCAATGGCACGCAGACGCTCATTTTGGGACAGACGTGGCATTTCGTAATGTTGAATAATATACGTAATTTTTTTTTTTTTTTGAGTGGTTGTTGTCAACAATGCAAATGGAATTCTTGGGTAGTGAAATGCATGGCGCTTGCATAAATGTCAACTTATGAATGTAATTGTGTAGCAGTTGCGGTTTTGTCACTTGATTCCATACATGTACTACAATATTGAAAACCAAACTTAACTTGTATGAAAAATACGCAACAGTATTGGTGTCACAGGAACTTTTGTTGTTGAGTATATATCAGCTCATCAATACATCTGAACTTGGCCAATTTTCCTTGTTGTAACTGTCGATCTGAGCAGAAAACGAGTAATTTCTTTGATATCTCTGAACGGATGAAGAGGACGTACAAGAACAACTGATGTTTCTCGTGCGGGTCGCACGGACTGAGACAGATCATACGATGGACAGATTCAGAGGATGGACATGAAAGAGTAATTATCATTGCAATGGAGCAGTTACAAAAGATTAACAAGTTCGTTTTATGTATTTTTTATAAGTATACTTTGTAAACAAAAGTTCTCCAGAGAATTAATACAGCATGTGTTCATGGTACGTGGCTAGTTTATGTTGAAATTTAGATATCAAACATCTGCTTAAGATGACAATCCTGTGCTGTATAAATAGCTGCCAAAGCAAACAACTTTGATAATCTGTGCGCGCGTGTGTGTGTTGGCGCGCGCGTGCATGCGCATGTATATACGTATTGCACAAGATGTAAGACATTATATTTGGCAATCCGTGCAGATTGTACTTCTTTTCAAAGATTAATGAAACACATAGTAAATAGTAAAAGTAGTTTATTATAATATCTACACCGTTACGTTTTGATTCCCAAGTTGAAACGCGAAGGTTAACCCAGAAATCAGTTTGTACAGAAAGAGTGAAATCAGGAAATAACCACACAACACCAATGAACAATCAAATTACATCGAAACACACATGATTAAGTTGATAAAAGGCAAAACAAAGGCAATATATACATAACTGCAAAAGAAACACAAGTTTGTGAAAGCCGAATGGAAATGTTTTTTTGACACGCAGCGCAAATCACATGCAGATATACCGTGCATTTTCCCCCTTGTCCATCCTTTATAAGCGACTATATAAAAAAACACTAAGCATTTCAGACTCGACTTTGAAAAAGTACAGGATACATAGTTCGATTAACTAGTGAGTTAGTGAGTACAGTTTTACGCCGTTTTTAGCAATATTCCAGCAATATCACGGCGGGGGACACCAGAAATGGGCTTCACACATTGTACCCATGTCGGGAATCGAACCCGGGTCTTCGGCGCTTTAACCAGCAGGCTATCCGACCGCCCGTTGGATTAACTAACTCCAGAGAGGCGTTGCCGTTGAGATGCCACATGCCGGATCAACGTCATATGCGATGTCGAGGCACTTTGGATGTCATGCATCTACCATCACCAGATTGATCGCAAGGCATCAACAAACAGGCAGTGTCCATAGCTGGCCTCGATCTGGACAGCCAAGGGTCACAACTCCAGGACAGGACCGTTACATCAGGGTGACACATCTGCATGAAAGACAGCCACGGGCAACACAGACAGCTGCAGCCACTCCAGTCCCCGTTCCACAAAGCGATCTTAGTGCTAAGTTGGTCGTAACTCCTATACTTTATCATAGGCTTACGATCAACGTTGCACTAAGATCGCTTTGTGGAACGGCGCCCTGGGCAGGACCGTTACATCCGGGTGACACATCTGCGTGACCGAAAGCCATGAGCAACACAGACAGCTGCAACCGTTCCATGTCCACGTGATCCCACGAGGAGGAGGAAGCATCATGGTGTGGGGAGGCTTCAGTTACCATCACAGTTCACAGGTCTTCATACCAAACAATTAGCATATTGCTGAAACTAATTTTGTTTTCTATACAAATGAATGTCATGTATTGCTTAGACATGGCTGGTGCAGTTAATACTGCCGTTTAAACAGTTTTAATAATATGTATTTCGTTGATCAATAGAGGGATATTAGTGACTGTCATTTAGCTTACTACATGCAGGACTCTAGTCTTGTCCAAACGCCATCTATAATTATAATATGGAGCACCACATGTTTGGAAGAGACACAAATAAAATAATGAAATAAATACCGATAATTGTTTAACAACAAATACATGACATATATATTACAATATCACATTAAAAATACCTGTTACATTACAATTTCTCTAAAGTTTAACGTCGCGTCCAAGATTATTGCACTTATATAGCGATGTGCATGCACGTGTGTGCGTGTGGCTGCTTGTACTAGACCGGACTGATGCCGATTTATAGTGCTAGCACACTGAGATACCATGCCTCCAAGCCGACCAGTCCTTGTTTTAACCTCTTAGTGCCGAGCGCCAGACAGGGTAACAACAAGTACCATCTTTTAACGTCTTTTGGTATGACGCGGCAGGGGATCGAACCCCGGACCTTCCGCTCTCCGGGCGGGCGCTCTACCACTAGACCACGGAGGCGGTCCAATTTCTCTAAAGCTGTACACCATATTCACGTCTAACCCTAAAACAGCATTTTGTCGTACAATAACTTATCCTAGATTTAGACACAGACTATGAATGAAATAATCATCGGTGGGGGAACCCTCCCCTCCATTTGAAATTCACAACCAGTAAAATGTACCCCGTCCCCACGGAGGGTAAAAGCAGTTAGTTTAAAAAATAACTTGGATCTGCCTCTCATAATTAATAATCGATAATAAACATACATACAATCAACCAGACACACAAACCCTTTTTTTACATTGGCATGTATCCGAAACAAATCCAAAGTATGTTCCCGACATTTTTTATTAGATAAATCAAAGGCTGACACGTCTTCAGTTGTATCACTTGTCCTGTTTGTATATAAAAAAGCGTATATAATGGACGTGGTGGTGAGTATTTACCCGTTTTATATTTATTTTTAAAATGAGAACTCAATTCATTTCAGGGCTTACAGATACTGTGCATTCAGAAGAATCTCAACTTCAAGTCTAGTTTACCTTAGACGTCCTAAAAATTCAGAAAAATTCATCCTTCATGTTTTGTGAATAAAATGAGAGAATGAGACGCATAGAGGGGCTTTAAGTATGCAAGACCATGAACTGAAAATGAGAACTTTTAAACACCAAACCTGTGCCAAGTATATTGCCTTAGCATGTCATCTAATCAATTCGCATGGTCCTTTGCAACTGTTGTACGATGGTAGTCAGTCATGGATTATTAACAATGAATAATTTCTCAACCAACTTCTTTATGTTAGTTTGGATATTTCCCAGACAGATGCCTCAAAGTGCAATCATGTATATGTTGCATAACGCTGCACTCAGCAATATTCCAGCTATATGACGGCGGTCTGTAAATAATCGAGTCTGGACCAGACATTCCAGTGATTGACATCATGAGCATCGATCCACGAAAGTGGGATACGCTGAAATGCATCTGGAGATCAAGCCTGTCTATTCTTGGACGTTTTTGACAGTTTCGAGTCGGCTCCTCTGTGGGTCAGCGGTTGCTCTATCGTAGGCAACCTAATCGTTTACTAAGCACCGTGACGATATATATGTAATGTGGTAGATAATATATTTTTGAAACCATTATCAAACGAACAGGCTCATTGAGTATTGAATTGAGTGAGTGAGTGAGTGAGTAAGGTTTTACGCCGCTTTTAGCAATATTCCAGCAATATCACGGCGGGGGTCATCAGAAATGGGCTTCACACATTGTACCCAATTTGGGAATCGACCCCGGGTCTTCGGCGTGACGAGCGAACGCTTTAACCACTAGGCTACCCGACCGCCCTAGTATTGAATTGAGACATACATAAGTAGCTGTATCGAGAATAAAAAAGTCACCGTGTTAAAAATCAGAACAAATACCACGAGTACTTGGATCACCTGTCGATGGATATAGAACTTTCAGCTTTGGTGAAGCGCCATGGTTTGGGTACAATGGTTTGAGTGGATTGCCGATCTAAATTATGGAAACACTGATACTAGCGTTCATTTAAAAGTTGGAGCCGAAATGAATTTTTGCTTCATTATAATACTACACTCGTATATAAAACAAGCATTGAACTTCAGCAACTTAGGAAGAGAACGTGACTTGGGCACCCATAAAAACATCATCAAGCCCACCACTCACTATGACGCTGAATCTATGACGTCACAGTTGGCTGTCAAAAAGTTCCAAAATTCAAGGAAATCTTGGGTCTCAAACGACACTGTCTTTGTTGATTAATTTTCTGCATTGATAGAAAGTTGGTTGAAAAATATATCCTTGGGACAACACAGTCACCAACGTAAAAATGATAAGACTTTATACACATAATGTAAAGATCTTAGCAACCCGGTGTTTCTTCTAGTTGGTACGGTCGTAATGTAGGTGCCACATGTTAAAAAGAACTAATCATCAAATATCATATATGTCTATTCTTCAAATGCGGTATTTCCTGAATACATTACTGTCGTACAGTGAGTGAGTATCGTTTTACTCCGTTTTTAGCAATGTAGCGGAGGGGCACATCAGAATTTATTAGGACTCGGACCTGGGTCTTCGGCGTGACGAGCGAACGCATTAACCACTAGGCTACCCCACCGCCCCACTGTCGTACAAAGATGGAGGAGTTGGAAGGAGAGTTGTCCCTGGGTCATCTGAATTTGTTAATACGGATCAGGGTAAAAGGTAAACACACTACAATTTATAGAAAATCCCAGTAAGCAATCCATAGGCTAGGCTGTCGTCAGAATCACTTTCCTCACAGTGCTCCAGTGTCCACACAACACCAGATGCTTCATGCCTCATTACTCGCTGATTGTTCATTTTACATGTATAATTATTCAATAAATCGCGCAACCTGTTGACTTTGATTTTTATCTTCTCTCCTTTGTCAACAGTCAGAGGTGAAGGAAACATCACCACATCTGAGAGTTGTGCCCCTGTCACATCCACGTCCTGGTGATGCTTCAGCAGGGTTGTGTCATCAGTGTCAGTAACAACTATCTTTACAGGCACCTTGCCTCCCTGGCTCCCAGAATACACGCTCAGCCCGGTCAGGTGAACACTGGCATCACAGGATATAAACAACGCATCACATACATTGTGAGAAAAACGCTTTGTCTCGTAGTACTTTTGGTCAGGAGGTAGGCGAGACAAGTAAACGACAGGAGATTTCCGAGATATGTTACAGAACGGCCGTATATCCAGGTGGCTGATAGAGTATTTTCGTAAGAACATTATGACATGGGCATCACTTAATATACCTTCATTGCATACAGTCGTGGCAAATTGCGCCATTGAAATAAATGGAAAACGAATGAGAAACAAACACTCTTCCAACACTTCTCTTTTCTCTTCTGGAGTTACCTCCCTTCCCTGACGTCGACATTCAGCTTCCGCCCACGACATCGCAGATCGGAAGATGCAAATCTCGTCAACTTTAATGTCATCTGCCTTCAGGATCAGCTTTAGACATTCCTTGCTTAGCTCACAGAATCCCTCGCTAGCAATAGTCACCTCCGCTCTGGATTTAATTACCAGAAGAGCTCTGTCCTTGAGGTCTTCTTTATCAAACAGGACTGCTAGTTGTAGGAATACACATGCGTTGCTAGGCGACAGAGATTGTAAGCAGAACTCCTCACATTGCGTTTCCAATCCTGGGACGTCGTATTTCCTAGCAGCGTTCATCAGACCAAGGACAGTGTTAGGAGTTAACGCGACCTCCCCCGTGTAGAGAAACCTGGTGATGAAATGTTAATGTCATATATAGTCTCACCCGGGTGTGTTTGGATATCAAATGTATCAACGCAGGCTTGCTGAGACACAAGGGTGGGATTCTATTAATCATCAAAAATCCTTATTTAGCTTAACTTTCTGAATAGCAACACCAAGTGTCGTGGATGTAACTAATACAGCCACAGTTTCAGTGGCAGTGGGATTAGTGATGTCATTTGATTGTGATGTCATGGTAACCGATGACATCACACTGGCCGCAAAGCATTGTTACAATTTCATTAATCTCACATACATATATCTCTCATGGAAATCAGTTTTGGGTGATAAATAGATAATCTCACCCGAGTGTCTTTTGATATCAAATATATCAACATGAGTTATGTCATTTGATTGCGACGTCATGGTAACCAATGACGTCACAGTGGTCTGCAAAGCATTGTTATGCAATTTCATTGCAGCGATATCTACAGTGTAGATATCTCTTGATCTCACCGTAGCGATATCTCCTGTGGGAACCAGTTTTGGGTGATAAATGATCGTGATGTTACGTTTTGTTAAACAGAAACTATGGAACATCAGTGTAAACATGCCAAGTAGGCAAACATGAGATATTTCCGAAACGACTGAGTGATGTAATTTCTAGCCGGTAAACATTTCACAAATCAGAAATTATTGCATGCTGGTGTAATTACACCATATGAGTAAATATTTAAAACTCGAGAACCATCAAGGCATAGTCGGTATTCTACAATAGACTACTTTCAGTTGAGATTAATTAGGGTTGTGTAAATCGTTTTGTCTCTTGTTTTAGATGCTTACAAAACAGCTCTAGATATGGTGATACGTTGTCGTGTCATATTGTGGCTGCTGGAGATTGTGCCAAGTCAACAACTTGTTCTCTTTGTACCTTCTGTTATCTTCTGTTATCCGTCTGTCAGATAGTTCGAAATATACCAATAAAACATCTCAACTAACCTTAGAAAGGTCTTGAAGTTGTCTGTCTGAATATAAGGAATCACTACTTGGCCCGTCTCGGGGATCGATCCACAGAACATCGTGCGAAACACGCAACTTCGGCTGACTAAAATGAATTTGTGAGCCTGGATTGTCTCCCTTTGATCTCCAACGAGGAAGGTCACATCAGCCAACAACAAACTGTCCAACATGTGCAGGTTGGTTTCCGGGAAGGACTTCCCACTTTGCAAATTGTCAACATCAGTTGCCATGATGTGTCTGAACAAACAATTTTTTTTATAAATTTAACTCAAAACGTTTTCAATTTCTTCGAACATTTATATTGGGTGGCCAAATTATGGAGTCGCAATATGAACCAGGATGTGGTGATAGCGGGCTCTGATCCCGGATTCGTCTTGATCACGATTCTTGGTTTGACAGCACCATACACTTAGATTTCACCAACACGGAAACCACTCCATATGGGGCTTCTAATCCCACAATAAGATGTCACGCACTCACTCCACCAACACTAAGATTGTCACGCACTCACTCCACCCATACTATGATGTCACGCACTCACTCCAACAACACTAAGATGTCACTCACTCACTCCTACCACACTAAGATGTCACAAACTCACTCCACCAACACAAAGATGTCACGCACTCACTCCACCAACACTAAGATGTCACTCACTCACTCCTACCACACTAAGATGTCACAAACTCACTCCACCAACACTAAGATGTCACGCACTCACTCCACCAACACTACGATGTCACTCACTCACTCCTACAACTCTAAGATATCACTCTCCACAACACTAAGATGTCACTCACTCACTTCTACCACACTAAGATGTCATAAACTCACTCCACCAACAGTAAGATGTCTCTCACTCACCCCACCAACAGTAAGATGTCTCTCGCTCACCCCACCAACACTAAGATGTCTCTCACTCACCCCACCAACACTGAGATGTCACGCACTCACTCCACCAACACTAAGATGTCACACACTAAAACCACCCACACTGAGATGTCACCCAATCACTTCACAAACAATAAGATGTCACTCACTCACTCCATCCACATTAAGATGTTACTCACTCACTCCACCAACACTAAGATGTCACTCACTCAACCCACACTATGATGTCACGCACTCACTCCACCAACACTAAGATGTCACTCACCCACTCCTACCACACTAGGATGTCACGCACTCACTCAACCAACACTAGGATGTCACTCACTCACTCCACCAACACTAAGATGTCACTTACTCAACCAACACTAAGATGTCACTCACTCACTCCATCCACACTAAGGTGTCACCCACTCACTCCACACACACTAATACGTCACGCACTCACTCCTCACACACTAAGATGTCAATCATTACACCACCACTAAGATGTCACTCATTCCACCAACACTAAGATGTCACGCACTCCACCAACACTAAGGTGTCACTCACTCACTCATCACACACTAAGAGGTCATACACTCACTACACCAACAGTAAGATGTCAATCACTCCACTAACACTAAGATGTCACTCCCTCACTCCATCCACACTATGATGTCACTTACTCACTCCACCAACACTAAGATGTCACTCACCCACTCCTACCACGCTAAGATGTCACGCACTCATTCCACCAACACTAAGATGTCATGCATTCACTCAACCAACACTAAGATGTCTCTCACTCACTACACCAACACTAAGATGTCACTCACTACTTCACCAACACTGAGATGTCACTCATTTACTCCACCCACACTAAAATGTCACGCACTCACTCCACCAACACTAAGATGTCACACACTCACTCCACCTACAATAAAAGGTCACTCACTCACTCCATCCACACAAAGATGTCACGCACTCACTCCACCAACACTAAGATGTCACTCACTCACTCCTACCACACTAAGATGTCACAAACTCACTCCACCAACACTAAGATGTCACGCACTCACTCCACCAACACTACGATGTCACTCACTCACTCCTACAACTCTAAGATATCACTCTCCACAACACTAAGATGTCACTCACTCACTTCTACCACACTAAGATGTCATAAACTCACTCCACCAACAGTAAGATGTCTCTCACTCACCCCACCAACAGTAAGATGTCTCTCGCTCACCCCACCAACACTAAGATGTCTCTCACTCACCCCACCAACACTGAGATGTCACGCACTCACTCCACCAACACTAAGATGTCACACACTAAAACCACCCACACTGAGATGTCACCCAATCACTTCACAAACAATAAGATGTCACTCACTCACTCCATCCACATTAAGATGTTACTCACTCACTCCACCAACACTAAGATGTCACTCACTCAACCCACACTATGATGTCACGCACTCACTCCACCAACACTAAGATGTCACTCACCCACTCCTACCACACTAGGATGTCACGCACTCACTCAACCAACACTAGGATGTCACTCACTCACTCCACCAACACTAAGATGTCACTTACTCAACCAACACTAAGATGTCACTCACTCACTCCATCCACACTAAGGTGTCACCCACTCACTCCACACACACTAATAAGTCACGCACTCACTCCTCACACACTAAGATGTCAATCATTACACCACCACTAAGATGTCACTCATTCCACCAACACTAAGATGTCACGCACTCCACCAACACTAAGGTGTCACTCACTCACTCCTCACACACTAAGAGGTCATACACTCACTACACCAACAGTAAGATGTCAATCACTCCACTAACACTAAGATGTCACTCCCTCACTCCATCCACACTATGATGTCACTTACTCACTCCACCAACACTAAGATGTCACTCACCCACTCCTACCACGCTAAGATGTCACGCACTCATTCCACCAACACTAAGATGTCATGCATTCACTCAACCAACACTAAGATGTCTCTCACTCACTACACCAACACTAAGATGTCACTCACTACTTCACCAACACTGAGATGTCACTCATTTACTCCACCCACACTAAAATGTCACGCACTCACTCCACCAACACTAAGATGTCACACACTCACTCCACCTACAATAAAAGGTCACTCACTCACTCCATCCACACTAAGATGTCACTCACTCACTCAATCAACACTAGGATGTCACTCACTCACTCCACCAACACTAAGATATCACTTACTCAACCAAAACTAAGGTGTCACCCACTCACTCCACACACACAAAGATGTCACAAACTCACTCCACCAACAGTAAGAAATCACTAACTCCACCCACACTAAGATGTCAAGCACTCACTCCACCAACAATAAGATGTCACTCACTCACTCCATCCACACTATGATGTCACTTCCTCACTCCACCAACACTAAGGTGTTACTCACTCACTTCACCATCACTTAGATGTCACGCACTAACACCACCCACACTAAGATGTCACGCACTCACTCCACCAACAATAAGATGTCACGCGATCTCTCCACCCACACTAAGATGTCACTCACTCACTCCACCATCACTAAGTTGTCACTCACTCACTCCACCAACACTAAGATGTCAATCACTTACTCCATCAACACTAAGATGTCACTCACTCACTCCACCCACACTAACATGTCACTGACTCCACCCACACTATGATGTCACTCACTCACTCCAACAACAGTCAGATAACACTCACTCCACCAACACTAAGATGTCACTAACTCACTCCACCAACAGTGTGAAATCACTCACTGCACCAACACTAAGATGTCACGCACTCACTCCACCCACACTAAGATGTTACACACTAACAACACCCACACTAAGATGTCATTAACTCACTTCATCCACACTAAGATGTCACTCACTCACTCCACCCACACTATGATGTCACCCACTCACTCCACCAACACTAAGATGTCACTCACTCACTCCTACCACACTAAGATGTCACGCACTCACTCCACCAACACTAAGATGTCACTCACTCACTCCACCAACAGTCAGGTAACACTCACTCCACCAACACTAAGATGTCACTAACTCACTCTACCAACAGTGTAAAATCACTCACTGCACCAACACTAAGATGTCACGCACTCACCCCACCCACTCTAAGATGTCACTCACTCACTCCACCAACAATAAGATGTCACTCACTCACTCCTTCCACACTAAGATGTCACTCACTCACTCCAAAAACACGAAGATGTCACACACTCACTCCACCCACACTATGATGTCACCCACTCACTCCACCAACACTAAGATGTCACTCACTCACTCCTACCACACTAAGATGTCACGCACTCATTCCACCAACACTAAGATGTCACGCACTCACTCCACCCACACTAAGATGACACACACTGACAACACCCACACTAAGATGTCATTAACTCACTTCATCCACATTAAGATGTCACTCACTCACTCCACCAACAATAAGATGTCACTCACTCACTCCTTCCACACTAAGAAGTCACTCACTCACTCCAAAAACACTAAGATGTCACGCACTCACTCCACCCACACTATGATGTCACCCACTCACTCCACCAACACTAAGATGTCACTCACTCACTCCTACCACACTAAGATGTCACGCACTCACTCCACCAACACTAAGATGTCACTCACTCACTCCACCAACAGTCAGATAACACTCACTCCACCAACACTAAGATGTCACTAACTCACTCCACCAACAATAAGATGTAGCTCACTCACTCCACCCACACTAAGATGTCACTCACTCACTCCACCAACAATAAGATGTTACTCACTCACTCCATCCACACTAAGATGTCACTCACTCACTCCACCCACACTATGATGTCACGCACTCACTCCACCCACACTAAGATGTCACTTACTCACTCCAACAACACTAGGATGTCATGCACTCACTCCAACCACACTATGATGTCATGCACTCACTCCACCAACACTAAGATGACACGCACTCACTCAACCAACACTAAGATGTCTCTCACTCAATACACCAACACTTAGATGTCACTCACTACTTCACCAACACTAAGATGTCACTCATTTACTCCACGCACACTAAGATGTCACGCACTCACTCCACCAAAACTAAGATGTCACACAGTCACTCCACCTACAATAAAAGGTCACTCACTCACTCCATCCACACTCAGATGTCACTCACTCACTCAACCAACACTAGGATGTCACTCACTCCACCAACACTAAGGTGTCACTTACTCAACCAACAATAAGATGTCACCCACTCACTTCATCCACACTAAGGTCTCAACCACTCACT